ATTACATGTCATATCAAGTCATAAACCACAAACCACAAACGAAGAGATATCTAAACCAAAACCGAAACCGAAACCATAAGCACGGAAACATAGTCGAATAACATTAACGTCCTTGTAAGTTGTCAATCAAACGAAAACGAAAACGAAAACACGAAGAAAAGCAGAGAACAGATCAACCACCCCCCTGATACTTCCGAATCAAATCCCTTAACCGTGCTTGCCCTACACCTACTCCTACTCCTGCTTTCTCCCCAGCCCCAGCTACCCCATTCACCGCACCCCCGACACCAGAGCTACCCCCTTCGACAATCGCCTTCAAATTCCCCACAGCCTTTCCTTTACCCAACTCCACTTTCCCCTTTCCTTCTCTTTCTCTCGCGTGACCGTTCGCCGTAGATAACTCGGGCAACGTATGAGATATCCTCGGCGGAGGCGGAGGTGGATCTTTCCTCGCTGCGCCTCCCAATTTAGGAGAAGCGAGAGAAGGAGAGGTAGAAGAAGAAGAAGTGACTGGGCGAGCAAGAGAAGCCGTACTAGAAATCGTAGGCACAGCTTGTGCATGTGAAGATGATAACGTTCGGTTTACTCGCTGTCGAAGTTAACCTGGGTTTAGGTTTCGTCTTTGGTGGTGTCGTAGATCCCGACCCTGAGCTTGATTTCGCAGTTGGTTTCGGCGTCCCAGAACCAGAGCTATCGAATGATTTCCTCGTTATCGGCTTCTTCATATCCTTCTCCACGCTGGTCTTTCTCAAAGGCGACGACACATCCTTCTCCTGCTTCTTCGGTGTTGGACTTGAACTCGACGGCTCCTCGTCCTCAGCTACCCTAGCCCAAATCTTCGCAACAGCCGTAACCTGTCCGCCCTTCCCCCCACGTGCGCTTCGTACATCATACTTCGTCTCTGGAGCGCCTAGCATGAGGTTTCGTCTCGATAGAAGTGTCTTCCATGGGTTGTCTTGTTCCTGCTCTTTCTTCTCTTCTTCCCGGTCTTTCTCGTGCTTCTTATCATCCTTAGTAACATCCGAAGAAACGTTGGCGTTAACCCCGAGACGCGAAGGCGACCCCCAAAGCTCCTGCACCCTCCTAGCATCCTCAACTAAACTCTCACCACACGCCATCGGGGAGTCCTTTTGGTACCTAGGCGTGCGTTGTAGGATATCGGGTTTTAGGGTGCCGAGGGGTACGAAGCCGGATGAACGGGGGTCTGGTTTGGTTTTCTGTTTCGTTAGTTGGGGTATGTCTGGTATGTCAGGTCGCGGTGAAGGTTGCGGTGAGACGTCCCGTGAACGCGAAGGAGGTAGCCCGTCTACTATTTCTGGTTCTGGTTCTGGGTCCATCCCATCAACATCAACACCCCCATCACCACCACCACTCCCAGCCCCAACACCGCTCAACCAAGCCTGAACCCTCTCATTCCTCCTTCCCTTCTTTTCCTTCTTCTCGCTTTCTCTGCTTTCTCTCACCCTTTCCTTCTCCCGTTCCTTGTCTTTCCGCTTTTTCCGACTCCTCGTCCCCATCCCAGTAGCAGTCTTACCCGATTTACCACTCTTAGTAGTCTTGTTATCCGAATCATCCTCTTCTTCTTTTTCACCTCTTCTTTCTTTACTCCCATCTCCAACAACACCACCGCCACCAACACCTAACCCAACATCCAACTCCCTAAGATCCAACGCCCCAGAACGTACACCGGGAGGCGGAGAAAGTAACTCACAATCCGGTAACGTCAAACTCGAAATCGCACTCAAGCTATCGCTTTCGTTCGCGGGTGCTTGGCGCGGGGCGGGGATGTCCATCGGGCTGCTACTACTCGCTTCTTCCTTCTTTTCGTGTTTGGGACTTGGCTGGGGAGAATGGTTGTACGAGTTCCTACGTGGTGAAGGTTCGTGTTTAGGGCTAGGTTGGGGAGAGTGGTTGTACGAATTTCTTCTTTCCTTGTCCTTGTTCTGATCTCTACCAGGCGACCCAGACCCAGCACCACCGCCGAAAACACTCCACAAATCCTTCTTCCCCTCAACTTCCGGTTTCCTCGTACCCACGTGATCGAGGAGGCGTTTTTCGAGTGCGTCGAGGCCTGATTCTCGAGGTGGTCTCAAGTTCAGTTGGGGTTGGGGTTTAGGTTGAGGTGAGAGTTGTTTGGGTGAAGGAGAGAGAGGTGAAGGAGGTTGTTTAGCGGGGTATGAAGGAGATGGGGGCGGAAGAGAAGGCGACGCCTTGGGTATAAGAGGTGATGAAGGAGCAGCAGGTTCTACATCCAGCCCAGGTTTAGCTCTAACTCTAGCTTTCGTCGTAGCCGTAGTCTTGCTCGGCACCGCAGGTGCTTCTACATCTCCAAAGTAATCCACTTGTTCCCGAGCCCCATTACCCCCAACACCCGCCTCAACTCCATTACTCCCGACCCCAGCCCCTTCCGAGGCGGCAGCCAACCTCTCCAACACCTCAACCCTCTCACTCCTCAACCTATCGCTGCTCTTTTTCGGCGAAAGCACCGGCCGGGGTGAGTGGAGTGGTGTTCCTAGACTCTGGTTCTGGCTCTGAGGAGATGTAGGTACAGGCGGGGGTAAAGCGATTGACAATGGGCTAGGCTTCTGCGGCTGAGTTTGATGTGTAGTAGGTAGAGTAGGTGGAGGTGGTGGTGCGTCATCAACAGGCGGTGACCGGACCCACGCCGGAGCCTTCCTTTCACCTTCTTTACGCTGTTCAGAAGACGTAGGCGACGTAACAGGTACATCAGAAACGTCTCGTACGCCTCCTATCGGCGGTAGACCCGTCACCTGCGGCGGCGGCGGTTGTTGTGGCGGCTGTTGAGGTTGTGGTGGCGCGGGATAATACCCATTAACGTGTGCATGGGGATCGTAGTACCCTTGTTGAGGTGGTGGTGGAGCGTAATGCGCTTGAGGAGGCGGTGGTTGAGGCGACAAAGGCGGTAAGTAGACAACGCCTTGTGTTGGATCGACCGTGTATGGGAGTGCGTATGGGATTGGTGAGGTAGGTAGTGCTGGGTAAGGATGAGGCGAGGTAGGTAGCGCATATGGCTGCGGTTGAGGAGATGCGTATGAATGTGGAGGTGGAGGCGGATGAGGTGGTGCGTAAGGGTTAGGCGCAGGAACAGGTGGAGCACCGTAATAGTCGTTGTAATACACCTCTTCGGGTGGTAACTCTGGTAGAGCAGCTGGGTGTACGACTGGTACTGGGATGTCCAGAGTTATGTCTTTGCTGTGGGTGTGTTAGTGTCGTGCGAGAGATGAGGTGAGAGCAGAAAAGTGATAGACAAAAGAGTCATCATAGAGGAACCGAAAGGAACTCTAGCGTAAAAGCGCAGCAACAGGAACATGATCAACGAAGGAGGCTAGAGTAAACAGGAAAGAGGCGGCGAATACGTGTGAGCGATGACCATCGCAGATGAATGGGAAAACGAAAGCTGAACAAGTAGACGAGAACCAGAACAAGAAACTGAGAAGAGAAAGGCTAGCGTACACAAGAACCAAGCACCGAACCGCAGGACGACGAAGAAGAGAAACAGGAAAGCATGTGTGAACGGTAACACGAAAACAAATCGCTGTCTTAGGCCAGCGTACACAAGAACCAGAGCATCGACCCGCTAGATAACGAAGAAGAAACAGTAACAGGATACAGCACCACAAATTGCGGTCCTTTGCTCGATGCAGGACTGGAAACGGAACAAAAGGAATGAGACGAAAGGAAGCGCAACTCGGCAAAGAACTGAAAACTGAAAAGCGAAAACGCCTGCTCACCTTCCCATACCCATACCCATCTTTACACCCAACACACATTTAATCTCAAACAATCCACCTTTACCAACACCTCTCGCATGTCTGGGTACATCAAACACCAGACTCGCAACACCTTCCACACCAGGATGTATCACATACTCTGGGCCTTTAAACGGTATACTCGTCAACGTATCCGACAGTTCTAGCTTTGGCGTCGACGCAGAAGGTGATGTTGGCGGAAGTACGAGGTGTCTTGTGAGTGTTATCGTTAACGACGAGTTCTACCAGAGTATTAGCATGGTACACAGCGAAGAAAGAAGAGGAAACACACCTTCTTACTCGAATGATTCTTCACCTGCAACTCCACACACGCACTCTCCCCTGACACAACCACACCTCCAACAACCCTCGCCTGTATCCAAATCTTTCCATTCTCCGCAACCACCACACCCCCTCTCTCCCCTGCCCCTTCTCCTGCACCCCCATCCATCTCCCCATACCTCAAAGCCCTCTCATCAAACCCCTCAACAACATCCACAAACCTATCCCCAACAACAACCTTCCTCTCTCCCTTCCAACTAACCTCAACACTAGCTCTCATCAAATACCTCACACTAGCAATCCCATCCCCAAACATAATCGCATTCGGTGCGTCCTTCGGGAGTGGCAGACTAAAAAGGAACGTCGATACGCCTTTTTTGGCTGTCCAATACTCCGCTGCCCCCATTCCCCTTTCAACTCCACCGACCAAAGGCCCTTCAACAGCATTACTCGCACCAAACCCCAACCCCTGAAAAACTCGTCGTTCTTTCAAAAACACATTCGTCGCATGATGATCCCTAGAACTCAGTTGTTGGATCCCAAACAACTCGACCATAATCACACCTAACCCCAAACCCTGCGAAGCCCTCGACTCGAGCGTAAGCTTTCCGGTGATGGGCTGGGAAGCAGGGAATATCGTGCTTGGGAATGTTAAGGAGATGTGCGTCTTTGGGTGATGTGTGGTTGCGTTCATGGGTGAGGGGATTGCGGGGGGTGGTGTAGGTGACATCCTGCTAGCGTTTGGTGTAGAGTGTTGGGTAGAAGGATGTGTAGGGTGGTAGAAGGGTGGTGGTGGTCGTCAGTGCATAGGAGTCGACAATGAAACGTCGTCGTCGTCGTCGTCGTTTGGCGATCGATGTGAAGGAGCTGGAATTGGTAATATGGATGACGACATTGCGATTATGTTTACCTCCACATGTAACCGCGCGTACCTGGAGAAGTGATATCTCCCCCTTAGCTCAGCGGTAGAGCGCTTCACTAGTATTGAGCGAGACTCCTGATATGCTATGAAGAGGTCAGTCGTTCAAGTCGGCTAGGGGGAAATAGAAATGTCTCTCCAGATCTGTTTTGTCAAATTTCACACCGTGTTCTGCAAGTAAAAAAAAGAAGGTGGCAAGCAAGTTCTAATAATCTACTCTCTACGACCCTCGTGATTGGGATACACGAGATGAATGAACGTGGAAATTCAGAAGATTGTCTTCGGAACCGGAATCGACACCCAAAATCCGACACGTCACAGCCTTCTTCATGTCGTCTTCATCTTAGGTGTCCCGGTGGTTTACTGTAAAACATCCATGAAAGAATTCACCATCCGGATGTGCTTTGACAGCTCATATGGTCGTGATAAGAAGTCGTTCAAGTTCTACATACGGATTTTCAGGCTTGCGTGGGCAATGGGATTGCTGTGGTGAGTCAATCCTTCTCGTCTTCTTCAACATCCCAACTCTGAATCCTGATTCAGGGCAAAAATCAACGTGAGCCGATAAAACCAACGCCTAGACTTTGAAAACGCAAACCTAGCTCCGCCTATCACAATGTTCTTGATTGGCCTGTTCTTCAGTATGCGGCAGAGGATCTCGGGAGGTAGTGCGTTCTTCTCCTGACGCTGATACGTTCGGGCTCCTCGTATCGATATCATGATCTGAAGGAAGAATCTCTGCGTCATTATGGTCAGCTGCACGAGACTTGTTGCTGTGATCCGCTGGATGAGCTCGCGTTGTTGGTCCTCCATCTGTGGCCCAGGTGTGTCCATCTTCGCACTGTGATACCTCCGAACCCTGGGCAACCCGTTTAGAGCGAGCTCCAAGTCGAGCTGTGGTCTCCAAATCATCGAGGCGTGATGTATCTATCTCCCCGGAGAGCGACGAATGATCCTGAGATTAAAATCAAGGTGAGCCGTTGAAACCGACACCTAGATATGTAAAACACTAACCTCTCTTGCGACGCTCAAGCTCTCTACATCCAAACCATCATTAATATTAGGAGATACCAAGGATTGCGCGTTTCCTTCAAGTTCCTCAGTACGAACCGCCAATCGATTCATTTGCTCGTCAATCCTAGGATCAACCAGCCGCAATCGAAGAGTATGTTCTCCTGATGCTGGAGATACCACACTTGAGTCTCCCGACCTGCTAGGGCTATCCTGACTCGGTGCGACATGGTGTGATCCATCAGGAAAATATGCAGCTTATGTTTATCCAAAGTAATGGAAATTAATCCATATTCGACTTAAACTTGGGAGAAAATGAACGAAAATCATTTTGGACTATGAGCATGAAAAGAACGTCAGATAAAAATGAACGAAAATGATATTGGCTAATGAGCGTGGAAAGAACATGGGATAAACATGAACAAAAATGATGTTGTCTGATAAACATTGAAGGAAAATGAGATAAAAATAAATAAAAATGATATCGGCCAATGAAAATGAATGAACATGTATGATCATGAGCTAGACTGTGCTGCCACTATGGGGAAGTAAAATATACATCACCAACAGGCACCGAAAAATGCACATATTGAAAGTACGCAAGTGCCTATGTGATGAGTAAAGGGAGAAAGCCCAATGACGAAGGGTATATAGCAATGTGAAGCTTCCGGGTTTATAACGGTCTGTTGGTACAGTGGTTAGCGCGTGGCACCTTTCGTGTGTCATGACTCAGACCCCGGAGGTCACGTGTTCAATCCTGTCAGGTGCCAGTCGACTTTTATTTCTCGGAGAACCCTGGCCCTATGATAATCGACGAAAATGAAAGAAAATGACCAAAATCCATTAACATCCAAGGTCATTAGGTGAGGTCTGTTTTCTTTCATTATCTTGGTCAATTTCCATGTTTATCCATTTCAGCAATTATCATGTATTTTGCTCATTTTCGTCCATGTTCGTCCATATTTATTAAGGTACCGTTTTCCCGATGTCCGAGAATCTCTGCGTCTGCATGAGACTCGTTGCTGTGATCAACCCAGGCTGGATGAGCTCGTGTTTGACCTTCGTCCGTGGTGTGTCGATCTCCTTCGCGCTGCGATACATCCGAACCCTGGACATCCTGCTCAGAATGAGCCAATTCAGGGGCTTGTTCGTTGTCCTGTGCAGAATGAGCTGGAACACTGGAAGCAGCATCTCGAGCTCGAGCTGTGGATTCTGAATCATCGGGGTGTAGTACGCTGGTCTCTCCGGGAAGCGGTGAGTCCTGATCCTGGGATTGACATCAAGGTGAGCTGCTGAAACCACCACCTAGGCATTAAAAAAAACTGACCTTGCCCGACAATTGAGTTGGATCGTCGGTAGAGGCGGTATATCCTCTGCCTGTTACAATGCTCGATATCTCCGGATGTACGTTTTCGTCCGAGTCGGTATCTCTCGAGGATCGTGTGTGTTGCTCCTCAATACGAGCCACTGAACGATTCGAAATCATTTGCTCGTTAACTCTGAGACCGACTGCTGGCGGCGGACGATCCTGGGAGATTGTATGTCCTTCTCCTGACGCTGGAGATCGAACCACGCCGTTCATGTTGTCCATATCGATATCCCCAGTACTTGGGGCGGCAGGAGCTGAACCAGGTACTTCCGCGTCACCCAAGTGAATAGAAGAGTCGGAAGGTTCTGGATGCACAACTTCCTGGGCTGAAGTGCGATCCGCACCTGTATGTTCCACGTGCCGCTGAAGATGAGCGCTATCCGAATGACTCTGAGAAGGGCCATCATCTCCTGCATCAGCATGTCCTCTCCATGGTACGTACGAGCTTTCGGCCTCTCTAGAGGTGTTTTCGATTCGGATAACTAACACGTTGTTGTCTTCGGATGTCTCCCCGTCACCCTGCGTACTCGATACTTGAGTATCACGATTCGAATCGTCGGTTCTAGGGGGTACGAGAGGTGCTAGAGGATCTGATGACCGGGTTGAATGGTCTGTGGGTCGTATAGTTGAAGAACTGGAAGACGGGGACATGGGTGCATCACCTTGGATATCGGAAGATGAAATACCGGACAATCCTTCGACCTCTGCATTGTTCAGTGCAGGATCAGAGCTGCTTTGTTGACTCATGTCTGGTAACGTGCCGGAATCTGGATTAGTATTACCCTCGACGGCTTGGGAGCGAGATGGAGTGGCATGGTTGTCATCCTGGGATGTCCGTTGATTACCAGATCCAGAAGACTCTACAACCTGACCAGCAGGGTCAATTTGTCTTGGATCTTTCCAGGTCGCTGTGTATGTCCTGCGATCAAAAAAGTATGGAGTGCCCAGGAAAGTCCCTTGCCCCCAGCCAGGTGGTAAAGGCCCTTCAGGTTGAGAACCTGATGCCTGCGGGTTCCCAGAGCCAGAAGACTCTGCAACCTGGTGAGTAGGGTAAAATCGTCTTGGATCTTTCCAGAACACTGCACGTGTGTTGAGGTCAAAAAAGTACGGAGTGCCCAGGGCAGTCCTTTGCTCCCAGTCTAATGGTAAAGGCTCTTCAGGTTGAGAACCCAACGCCTGCGGGTTCCCAGAGCTAGAAGACTCTGCAACCTGACCACCAGCAAGGGGGCATCATCTTGGATCAAGCCAAGTAGCTGTACGTGTTTTGCGGTGGAAAAAGTATGGTCTACCATCTCCGGTAGTCTTTTGCTCCCAACCAAATGGTAAAGGCCCATCAAGTTGAGAACCTGATGCTGGCAGGATGTTTTGTCTGGGATCTTCCCATGTTACTGTACCTATCTTGTGGTCAAAGAAGTATGGTCTGCCCTCTGGGGTGATCAATTGCTCCCAGCCAGATGGTAAAGGTGGTTCAAGTTGAGAACCTGGCGCCTCATTATCGTGATTGAGTTCAACATCTGGTTCAGTCTCGAGGGAATATTGTCTGGGAGGTAGCGGTGGTAAAACAGGTATTGGATCACGCCTGTCTGGCACTGGTGCAAAGTAGTTGAGGGGTAAATTTCCTACTTCTCGTGTCCTTTTGATAGCTCGCAACCACTCAACACAAACGGAGACTGTCCAATAGAGCTTTTGGGTGATGATTTCATGGTGAATGAACCGAATGAACTCCTGACCACATTTACTCATTATCAGCAATGAATTACGATCGGTGCAGTTGATGTGTTTTGCAAGGACCAATGTAAAAGCTAGGCGCTCAGCGAGGTGGCTATAAGTGTCATTCTCGACGTCTGAGCATAATTTCCAAGAAGCCTCATAGTTTTGAAGGAGTGTCAGACTCTGTCTTTGGACACTAGCATCCTGGTGGGCCCACAACCTTCCCAATACTGAAGGCAGGGTAAAGAAATGGAAGCCTGCTGTTTGAACACCCATCCGTTTAAGTGCAGCAGGAATGTTGTTGACATCCATCCCTGACATCATGCATTGGTGTTCGAATAAGAATTTGATTCCTTCTGGTTGATAAATCGGAGGATTAGGAATAGCGGGCAGGTACGATACCAATCCCCATTGCTTTGCAAACTCCTGAATGTCTCTAACAGCAAGGTCAACATCTGCTTTCGAAACATCGCTCCACAATGCGACATCCCACTGGCCAAGCACGGCAGACATCGCAACAGAAGGGGGTATGGTTCCCAACACGTTTTGGAGATGAGGTATCATCAACGGACTGTCGCGGAACATCGTGACTGCCCATTCGAAAGCGCGTAGTTGGTATACTTGTAGGCTGAATAGGTCTCTCTCGGAGTAACCGAGAACATGCTGGTCATACTGCCTGACCACTCGAAGATCGAATGAAGACCAATCCGATGCCGGTGATTTGGTCTGGTAGCGTAAATCATAAAGCCAAGAACTGACGATGGGTAGCGGGAGTTTAGACAAGGGATAAAAGAGTTTGCACGCAAATCGATAGAACAGCCATGCCTGCGGTGACTTGTACGGGCATATGAACTGGTATGATAACCGTTCAAAATGTTGCCGTTTGATGTTCTCCTTTTGGTCCTTTGGTATGGTCAACGTGGGGAGGAGAGTGGTGACGGAATATAGCCCTGCACTGAGCAGCACAGCAACTAATGAAATTGCGAATGGGATGGGGTGAAGCCCCCAAAGAAGATCCAGGATTCCAGCAAAAA